TGAGTTCCTGTTAGGCCAGATAAGCTCACAGGTGGCGATGGTACTAAGGTCAACTTGTCCCCACTCACACCCACACAGGGTTGGCTAAACATTAATGCCTCTATTCTGTTGTACTCATATAAACACACTGCTAACGTAAACACCGACACAGGAGACGACAATCCTGTCGATAAACGTTCCTTTAACTGTTCTAAGGTACATGATATACAAAATTTGAAAACACTTTAAAAACCTTAGTACCGAAGAGGAGTGATAGTAAACAAGCGAAGGCGCCCTTCATTGACTTCATGGTCTCGGGCTGCTAACCAGAGCACTGTCTGACCATCTGTAGCCAGTCTGATCTAAAACACTGTATCAGGTTATCGCTGTAGTTACAGTACGCATCCTTTCTATATCTGTTCACTGTTAATTCAAACCAGCACATGATAATCAATACTCCACAACACACACAGACCAGGTATCAAGACCCAAAATCCTACGATGTAGAAATAAGAAATGGCTCAGTTTCTGAGTGTCATTCGATCACATGGGTGTGTGCTGCTCTGCACAGACAATGCACATGTGAATGAAAACTAAGTGTCATCCCAGGAGAAGGTGTTGGCTTTCACTGACTCTTAAACACAAGAACCACATGGACACACACACACACACACACACACACATAACACAGAGGACAGCTAGCCTTAACCTAGTAACCAGGTACAATGTGTGTGTTTTAAAAAATGCCCCCAGGCACAAAGACAGACAGGCAGACAGATGGAAAGATGACTTCCATTCACATGGTGTTAAACCTATGGAACAATAGGTGTGAGCAGGGACGGAGAAGAAAAGGAGCTTTTGTCGAGCTCTGGACAGGAATTCAGAGCATCTCCTGTTATATTTCAAACTGTTGACTTTGAAATAGTAGGACTGATCTGTCCAGTGAAGAAGACAGGGTCAGAAAATGGCACCGTTGTCCACAAAACCTTTGGCAATGGACGAGATTTACAAAGAAACCTTTTTCTCTGAAAGCTTTCTCTGAAAATGTATAATGTTATAAAGATAACTTTACAAGGTGCAATAAAGTATATTTGTCAGTAGCAAAATAAATACCAAATTTTCTGGACTATAAGTCGCACTTTTTTTTCATCCTTTGGCTGGGTTTGCGACATACTCAGGTGCGACTTATATATTAAAATATATAATTTCACATGTTTGTTTATTTTCACACTGACAGCAGCTAGAGGGCACTCTAGCTAGATGGTGCGACTTATACTCCGGAGCGACTTATAAAATATGAAAATATGGTAAGCAGAATCTCAAAATCTCCGGAAAATATGGTAAGCAGAATCTCAAAATATTGTAAAATAACGATTATATAAGACAGCGTAACATTTATATATTACCGCCTGTATTCACAGCAGTATTGAGAACATGGTAACCCAATCATAAACATGGAAGAAAACAAGCATGAATACATTAATAAAGAATATATAAGATACATTAATAAAGAATATTCTACCAGTGAAACTGACAGCTGTGTTCTGTACATTGTGCAATGGACTGTAATAAATCTTCCACTCCAAGGTTATGGATGACCTTAAGGTGGAGAGGATCTGATAAGGACGAAGCCTGGTAAACATCATTATGTTTCTCTCTGACTTTCACTGTGAGACAATGCCTGAAGCGACACATAAAGTTGTTTTGTTTTATGTTATTGATATGCTTCTACGTTTTTTAATTTAAAATCAATTTGTCTGCCAAGTTATTATAATATCCAATTCTTCTTGGGTAACTTGTTATCCTGAGTTATCACAGGAGATTGAAAAAAATTGATTCATGGTAGAGCTTCAGTTTTTGGCTGAAAATGATTACTTATAATTATATAAGTAAAAAGTTAAGATAAGAAGTTCTTCATTTGTCCTACAGTGTGTGTCATCAGCATATAGTGTAATTGTGAAAAATGGTGATGTGGATGGTAGAAAGGCAGTGGTCCTAATGTGGTGCCGTGGGGGACATCATGTCTTTTACTTTTAATTTAATTTTTTAATGGCAAAGATTTAGTGTTACAACTAATGCAATGCTAGTGAAGACTCCGCAGTCGTAGTAACATTAATCAATGAGCCAACTTGTTGGCAAACGTAACATCTAGGTTCATGTGATGACATTATTACCTGATTGTTTATGTCACATTAATTACAGTTCGTGTTCCTGTTTGTCTCATGGTGGTTTGTGCGTTTGCCAAACTGTCAAAAGATGTGAAATGTGTCACCTTTTGGTTGCATAATTAAATTGAAACCTAATTAAACCCTAATGACAAATTGTCCGTTCTGAGTCAGTGTGAGAAAAGCAACGACTTGCTGTTCCCTTGTCAGTTTTTTTTTCATAAGTACTAAGGAAGAAATGAATGTGAGCATCACCTAGTGTTTCACAATGGTACAAAGGTGCACGTTGGACAAAATATGCAAAAAAAAAAGCCTTCCGACTGAGGCGCTTCATGGGGTCGGTGGAGCCCAAAGCTTTGGTCAAAATATTTTCCTCATAAATCCTCCTGAAGGCAAAGCACTTGTTAAGTTATAGTTTCTTTCTTATCATTTAAACCAGATGTGTCAAACATATGGCCCGTGGCCATAACTGGCCCGTTACGGTGTTGAATCCGGCCCGCTTGATGAATTCTGAAAGTGAAAACACTTCATGTTCGTGATGTTTTGTCAAATTATATTTCATGATGTAGTATTTCCTAGTGTACTTGTACTTATTTGTACTGGTCCGGCCCACCTCACAAAACAATTAGGTCGTATGTGGCCCCTGAACCAAACTAAGTTTGACAGCCCCGATTTTAACATTTCACTGTGGATATGGTGACAAATTACTATCGTTAAAAATGTATTAATTCAACTGAGGAATTCAGTTCATGTGTATTCAGTGAAACTTTTCTGTGCCGGTGAATCATTTTAGATTATTCTTTTGAAAAGGCAATTAAGATGTAGAACAGATGGAAAGGAAGAATAAATCATAAATTCCAGCAGAGAAACACGGTCTAATGAAAGTTTGAAATCTTCTTCAGTGACACTGAGACTGAAACACAAACAAGTCTTCACTAAATTGGGGACAAACTCTGAAAAATGTGCAGTCTCCATTTATGGTTCCTGCTCTTTTTTTTTGTCGGGTGTGAAAAGAACATTTGCTCAAACAAATGGAGCAATTTATGGTTCCGGAGATTCAAGGATCAGAGTTTTTATTCGTCTATAAAGTTTTGGGTTTTAAAAGCAAAGCGTCAATGAATCCTGTCGGTATTTTTCATGGACGTCTTTGAGGAACTGACAGAAACCTTGATGCCAAGTTCTCCGTCTCTGTCACCCTCTTGTCTTCCTTGTCTCTCTGTGCGTGTATTTCTTTTTGTTTTGGTCTCTTTTTTTATTTGTCAGAGCCAACAACCTTACTCTTCACACACACACACACACACACACCCATTGTTAATAACTTCTCCATGACGCTCCACCTTGCCCTGTCTTCATCTCCTCCTCCTGTCAGGATGTCCATCTTCAGGTAAAACAGAGGAGGAGACGGAGAGCGACAGATCATTACTCTAAGGAGGAAACAACTCGATGGTACAATTCCCATCTGTACTTCCATCAATGCCAAGGGTTTAATCAGCGTTTGCAGAGCACAGCAACCACGGGGAGGCAATAAAGCCAGACTTTGTTGTGCGTTGCTTGGCCGACTGAGTGGTTCACAAAATCTCCAGCTGATTGATTATGTGAGGACGAGCGTAATTGACTTGATTGATTAAATGCATGATTGCCCCGCTGGATGTACGACTGATGACAGGCTGATCGACACCGTGCAGAGAAAGAAACCTTCAAACTGAACAAATGTGAACCACTCCAGATCCCACATCTCTGGGTTCCTGTTCACCTCCATTTCTCTTTTATACAATATGGAGATTTATGGCAGTGACAGGATGTCGCCCCAGGCTGGGTAACCTAATTCATAAGGGCACGCAAAAGACAAAATCTACACACACGTTGATGCAGGTGTTGCATTAAAGCAGGGGTGCACATCGGCAGTACAGTTCCCCCGGGCCACATTTGGTCCGGGGGCCTTAAGTTTGACACATGTGCTGTAAAGGAAAAACCCACTAAAGCTCTCACAGCCTCGTATCTAACCCCGAGCCCCAACTTTAACCTCACTGCAATTAGCGTCTGTAGCCTAACTTTAACTGCAAGCCTTAGGAACGAGGTTCTGCCTCATTAGGTCCAGGCTGTTCTGGTTCCTACTGGGAACACTGGTCCAAATGATCTAAACACAACAGCAGCAGCAGCAGCAGCAGAGATGGTCCTACATTGGTAACTGGTTCAAAGACACACCTGCAGTGTGGAGCAGACAATGAAAAGTGCACTTTGGTGGTAATAGTGATTTGTGTGCGGATCTAAATTTTCATCAGTCGTTGATGATAAAACCATAAAACACCTGCAGATCAGACTGACACAACTACACTGTTCTCACAGTAGAAGAAAAAATACCTCCGCACAAGGCACATGGCACACACCCACCTGCAGTTCTGCCCTCAGCAGACAATGAAAATGCCCCAGGAAGGGACAATACTAGAGATGTGCAGGGCAGAGCCTGCAGACCTGAGGACCACCTCAGTGGGGTGGAGGTGTAGGAGAAACGGAAGAGTGAACCAGAATAGAAACAACTGTGAACTAAGATCCAGAACAACTGCATTTTTTTATAGAATAACACGTTAATGCAACTGATGACCAGGCTGAACCAGATCTGCTGTGTTCACAGGATGCAGGTTGAATCTTGTCTACATTAAAATTCATGGAGAAACAATGTTCACATCATGGAAAATATTGAGCTTTTAAAGGACTATTGCAATGGAATTAGTACCAAGAGTACCAAGACACATGTTGGAAAAAAAGTGCCACAGATTTTGTTAATAAATAAATAAATAAATAAATAAAAATGTAATATGGGAAAACAAGTCAAAAGCTTTTTGCTCAGTTACTCACCGGAGATTTCGTTCTGAGGTACGCCGGTCAGGATGAACCCTTTCCCGGTGTAGAACTGCCGCAGGTCGCTGCAGCTTCGGTCCGCCCCGGCCACCGGGCCCGGTGCTGCAGACACACACAGCAGCAGCAGCACCAGGAGGCGCATCTTCTCAGCACAACTCCGGTTTTCTCCCAGACAAAAAAAAAATAAGAATGATGGAAAGAAAAATCCCGGAGACGCGATGTGACAGCGGCAGGCTCCACCGGAGGATCCCTGCGGTTGGTGTTTGAATTGCTTTCTGGATGTTTGGGACTTTTTCTTTCACTCTGTCCACTGAGGCATCGTCTCCGGTTCGAACTGCACGGAGCTCCGGTAAACTGGAGACGGTTGTGGTGGAGGTGGTGGTGGTGGTTGTTTACGGGGAGAGAAGGTTTTTTCCGGAAGCCCGCTGCGAGTTTGTTTCTGCCGGCGAGAGAGCTGCGACGCGCGGCTGTAGGTGTCAGGTACTCCCCGCTCCTCCTCCGCCTCCTCCTCCTGGGCGCTGCTGTCTGCAGAGATGCCTCAGACAAAAGAGAGAAAGGGGAACGTGTGTGAGCGCGCGCGCGCAATCGTGCGTGTCTGCTTGTGTGTTCGTAAGAAAGAGAAAGAGAAAGAGACAGAGAGAGAGAGAGACAGAGACAGAGAGAGGGAGAGAGAGAGAACAGGTGACCCGGGTTAGCGGGTCATCATGATAAATTAAAAAAGTCAAAAGGCAACAAAAGGGCATAATCTATTTTGTTGAATCACATTTAAACATAAAAAAATCGTTAAATGGATCCTTCAAATTTTGATCTAGAAAATTCTGAATTCAATTGTAGTCCTAATCATTAGCAGCAGCTCTGAGGACTGTGTGACCTTGTGAGGTAATGTCTCCAGAACCTGGACCAGGATTAGACTCGGGGTTTGTTTAAGGTAAAGAGAGGAGGAGGGGAAATGCATTACAGCTATTAGTGGAAAGACATGATTGTGTGCCAGCGAATGCCCGAGGACAAACAGCGACACCTGGAGATCATAAACAAAGGCAGAAGAGAAAGTGATGCTCCAGGAACACACCTCCAAAACTGGACTAGAAATAACAGTACTGCACATACATTGGCTGGTTTGTAATACAAAAATACAACGACCTGATAAAAGTGTACTGTGAATATTGCTACTACTAATAGTACTATCCTAATCCTTCTAAAGTATTCATCTTCTACTACTTGGTTCTCTCAGGGCTGTGGCAAAACTGGAGCCAATCTGCAGTCATTGGGTTAATGAGGTTAAATGGTACCAGTCTGACTGTGATCATCAACTGGAGGCCCGCAGACTGAATCCAGCCCACTGAACTGTCCAATCTGGCCCAGATCTGGATTCCAAAATAGACTAAGAAGACAAAAAAAAAAAAAACACAAGAATGTGATATTTATTTCCTTTTATTTATCATCATCATCTTCCTCCTATTATTATTATTATTATTATTATTATTATATAGACCCCATATTTTAGACCTCAAATGATGTTTAAAAATTGTCACTACCACAAACTTTTATTTTCTACATACAGTATATTTTGAACAGTGGAGTCAAAGTGGAGCATTGAGGAAACTCCTGCTACACGTGGGGACAACATGAATATTCCACACAAAGACTATCTCTCTGACAAAGACCCAAACCAGTGACCTACTTCCTGTAAGACAACAATGTAAGGTAATGTACTCTGGGAGTAAAGTGAACAGTAGGAGAAAGTGCTTCTACAGTGTGTTATTGTTGTAGCAGTATGAACAGCCTTTGACCTTTTAACCTCTGCACTTAATATCACAGCAGTTTTGTTTTCACTCTTTCAAAATAAACTGTCAATCTGTCAATCTTTACATCTGTTTTTAACTCTTTTGTTGTAAAATCTAAAGACATTTTTTCTTGTTTCCGTTGTTACAGCGTTTCTGCTTTACATTCTCCTGTTCTGCCATTACCCAAAGGAGTTCCTGGAGAATACAGACAGGTAAAGCCGATGTTACAGAAATCAATCTGAGATCATTTCTGTCGTGTGACATTTCTCATCGTGACGCTGGGAATAGACACTGAAGGACAGTGAATGCACCGTGTTACCATAAACAGTGGCGGTGAGTTCGGGATGTGAGGTTTCAAAGTAAACGCACATGAATCTGCTCTAAGCACGCAGCTTTACCGCCGGGAGGCCAGTGGCTGACGGGGATTCAGGGTCTTGCTTCGTTTGGCAGGGCTGGTGGGCATGACTGGTGAGCTGTCAGATGCCCCGAAATCCCCAAATCCTACATCCTCCACTGCAGGACAGCTGGATCAGAGGGGGATTGGAGAAAGGTCAGCGGTGGTCCTGGCACAAATGCAACTGAAATGAATTGTAGTTTGAACATTTGAACAACAAGTTCCTTTAAACTTGAGGGCATGTAATAAACAACGCAGTGACACAGTGGGAGCTCCAGGGTCCGTGCTCCGCCTCGCTGACTTCTGACTTTTATAAGAGGTCTGCCTTCAGCGTCCAAATGGATCGTTGTTGGTTTTTTATAGCTGTTAAAATAAATAAACATAGAGGAATGATGACTTATCTAGAACAATCAGGATTAACTGTGATAATTATTCATAATTAATTATGATAATCGTAATTATTTGTGATCATGACTAATCACAATTAATTATGGTTATGATTAGTTGTGATTAATCATGATCAATCAGATTAGAGTTTTATTTTTTTATTGACTGTACTGAGACAGTGTTGTTGTTGGTAGTGTGACTGTACTGAGACGGTGTTGTTGTTGTTGGTGTGACTGTACTGAGACAGTGTTGTTGTTGTTGTTGGTAGTGTGACTGTACTGAGACAGTGTTGCTGTTTTTGGTGTGACTGTACTGAGACAGTGTTGTTGTTGGTAGTGTGACTGTACTGAGACGGTGTTGTTGTTGTTGGTGTGACTGTACTGAGACAGTGTTGTTGTTGTTGGTGGTGTGACTGTACTGAGACAGTGTTGTTGTTGTTGGTGGTGTGACTGTACTGAGACAGTGTTGTTGTTGGTAGTGTGACTGTACTGAGACGGTGTTGTTGTTGTTGGTGTGACTGTACTGAGACAGTGTTGCTGTTTTTGGTGTGACTGTACTGAGACAGTGTTGCTGTTTTTGGTGTGACTGTACTGAGACAGTGTTGCTGTTGTTGGTGTGACTGTACTGAGACAGTGTTGTTGTTGGTGGTGTGACTGTACTGAGACAGTGTTGTTGTTGGTAGTGTGACTGTACTGAGACGGTGTTGTTGTTGTTGGTGTGACTGTACTGAGACAGTGTTGCTGTTGTTGGTGTGACTGTACTGAGACAGTGTTGCTGTTGTTGGTGTGACTGTACTGAGACAGTGTTGTTGTTGGTAGTGTGACTGTACTGAGACGGTGTTGTTGTTGTTGGTGTGACTGTACTGAGACAGTGTTGCTGTTTTTGGTGTGACTGTACTGAGACAGTGTTGTTGTTCACTCCCCTCTGCACCTCCACTCTCTCCTCCGCTGCTGCAGCTGCTGTTTCTCCCTTTGTGGAGACAGACAGTGGAGCAGAGTCTGGATCTGATGGAGGTTTTTTTTTTCTCCCCACTGAGGCCGAGGTGTTGAATCAGTCTTTGAGCTAATATTTAATAATGGTAAATCCAGTTGACTTTACTTTGTCTAGTTAATTTAATTTTAATATAATATTGATTATATGTACATCCCCATATTTCTCCCAGTTGCATGGCTTTTTAAGTGCAGGAATTTGAATTGAATTTTTATTAAAACGAGGCAAAATGTGTTTTGATAAAATTGGCGACAGCAGTGATTTTCAAAGTGAGGGGTGTGGCACTTTTGGAGCATCATTAGTCAAAAGGAATGGAGGAAGAGTTTTTGTAAGAATAACAGCAGTTAGAGGAAATGATGTAGATGTGGGTGAATGAGTCAACGGTCCTGTCTGGGGGCCAGGGGCCACAACAAGTTCAAGGTTTTACGGAAAGGACGGAAGGAACAAAAAAAAGTGATAAGAAACTAAACCTTTGTCTGAAAAGTAAACAACATCATAGAATAATCTTGTCACGTTGTAACTTGTAACGTTGTAATCTAACTTCATCTGCGTCATGGTGAACAATCCACATTTATAACCCCTACTTGACTCCACACTGGTGAGTTCAGCTAGGATTCAAACTCCAGGTTTGGACAAACCTTTTTCTTTGTGAAGTTTTAATGAGCCCCCAGTACACTGCAGCAGAGACGCAGCAGTTCCACGTCCTGGGTGTACTTCAACTAACTGGGATCTGTAACGCCCAGCGTGAAATTCTATTAACAGAGAAGAGGAATGGCTGAGGTTACAGGTGCATAAAAATAGCTCAAACCAGAGCAGTGACCCAATTCAGGGCTCACCTTGGGTCCAAATCCTCCAGATACCCAGTCTATAGAGAAGACAAAGGCATTAGAGAAGATAAACCCAGACACTGCTCTTGCTCTTGTTCATCTTGATCAGGATGCTCTCAACCATTTGAAATTAAAAAAAAAAAAATTAGGCTTAAGGACCACTAAAAGGACATGGAGTTGATTCAAAGCATGAGACAACATCTCTCACCGAGCTTAGGGATGATGTAGAATCCCTTAGGCAAAAAAAAAAAAAAGGAAAACTGTTGTGGAAGACAGATACGGGGATTAGCCTGGATGGATGGATGGATGGAGCGATAAGTCAGGACACTTCTTTGTACCTCAAATCCAGACAGAGAGCCCGTCTTCATCTCAGATTTGATAGAGGTGGTCGCGGAAAAGGATCATTTGCTTTCTTGGCTCAACATGTCTGGACATGCTGGATCACAGACTGTTGCAAGAAATAAAATAAAAATCCCAGGCTACAACACTCAGAACCAGAAGCCTACCTGAAAAATTAACCATTTTTATGTCGACACATGTGCACCTAGTGCAGGGGTGACAAACTTATTTTGGTTCAGGGTCCGCATCACTACATAAAAGTTTTCATGCAAAAAAGTACATTAGATAAATCTTCATCTTTATAAAAAATAATTGTAGAAAACATTTCCTGATCATTATGTGTTTTTATATATATTTTTTATTTTCAAAATTCATCAAGTGGACCGGATTGAAACCCCAAGTGGGCTGCTTTTGGCCTACGGGCCGTATGTTTGACACCCATGACCTAGTGTAAAAAATGTACAAGTGTAAATCTAAGCAGTGAATTATTACCTCGGCAGGTGTTGGCAGGGTGGATGTGTTGATTAGAACATACCAGCTATTTTAGCTGTCAGAATGAAATAGATATTTTCTCGCAGGTAACGAAAACAAAAAATGTCAAAAGCCCTGGTGCAGAAACAGGTGGAACATTATATTCAGACAGTGGTTAAAAACAGATGACATGATTAATAACAGGTCAAGGTCTTTGTTTGCTGGTTTACACAACAATGACCTCACTGTCTGGGTTGGAGAATGAGAGTCATCCCCGGCAGTTTTTCTGGCACACGTATCGTATTTCTAATTTCATTGTTGGCTCAGCCCACTGAATAACGCCTGAATCTTGCCAATTAAGTAATACAAAAAGTTTATTCAGACCTTGCCATAACAGAGATAATCATGCTCGCAGGAAAATTCCCTGAAAACTGAGTTACGTTCCCTAAATCCTGTCAAGCCCTTTCAGATCTGACCCATTTGACGCAAGACTGAACCAGTTTCCTGGGATTAGCTCACTTGCTGAACTCATTTAAACTCACCTTGTCAGTGTTCCTTCATTCTACTCAATTTAAGTGTCAGGCCCAATTCTTAAACATACAAAAGGTCAAATTTACGAATCACAGATTAGCCCGTTGTCTGGCACGAATCACGCCTTCAACCCGCACATGGAGTGTGTGGGTTGAAAAGGCCTTGTGGTTTTCGTCAACTTTACATTCGTAAAGAATTTGCAATACTTCTGTGATATCGCACATCAGACTTTTTTTTATCCTTTGGCTGGATTTGCGACTTATACTCAGGTGTGACTTATGTATAGGCTTGTGTACCACTATCTGCTACTCCTGTACCACTGAAAATCTACGTTTGTTATTTTCACACTGACAGCCGCTAGAGGGCACTAGTGCGACTTATACTCTGGAGCGACTTAAATAGTCCGGAAAATGTGGTATAAATTTTATGGTATAAAATATGGTATGGACATTGATTTTAGCGCAGATGTCGGGCAGCAGTGCTGACACACTG